AGTTTTTTGTTGTTGTTGTTTTGTTTTTGCGAGGAAGATCGGCCCTGAGCTAACATCCATGCTAATCCTCCTTTTTTTGCTGAGGAAGACCGGCTCTGAGCTAACATCTATTGCCGATCCTCCTCCTTTTTTTTTTTTCCCCAAAGCCCCAGTAGATAGTTGCATGTCATAGCTGCACATCCTTCTAGTTGCTGTATGTGGGACGCGGCCTCAGCATGGCCGGAGAAGCGGTGCGTCGGTGTGCGCCCGGGATCCGAACCCGGGCTGCCAGCAGCGGAGCGCCCACACTTAACCGCTAAGCCACGGGGCCGGCCCAGGAAGTGATAGTTTTGAGTTTTTATCACCTTTGTTTTAAATATAATTTACTTAATTATAAGTTTACATAATTTACTTTTAAGAATATAGTATATAGTATATGATATATAACACATTATATAGTATATTATGTAAATAATGATTAAAACGTATATAAATAAATATGCATTATGTAAATATTATACATATATGTAAATATATTTATTATCTACCTAATATATATTTATAATATATCTGAATATATACAAAGACTATATATACTATATTATAAGAATTTTGACCGATGGCTCCCCAAATTCCTGAGGCGTTGACTCTGTCTTGGCAGCCAGGAGGAGCGGGCACCAGCTCGCTGTTGCTTGCAGATGGACTGGATGTGAGGGGCTGTGGTGGGAAGAGGGAATCCACGTTTTCTGGCTTGAGCACATGGTGTGGCTGTTCCCAGGACCTGGGCAGATAGGGGAGGAGCACGTTTTGGGGGGAGGGCACGAATTTGGGTTGAGACAATGTATAGGCACCTTTAGGACCTCCATGGGGCCAAGGTCCAGGCCCGTTGGGGACAGCGGTGCGGGGTCTGACCACCGATGCAGTCGGCTGACCACTCCCCCCTGCGGCTCGCCAGCCCTCAACAGCCTGACGGGCGAGTTCAAGGGGAAGTACTACCCTCTGAAGAGCATGACAGAGCAGGAGCAGCAGCAGCTGATCGACGACCACTTCCTGTTCGACAAGCCCGTGTCCCCGCTGCTGCTGGCCTCAGGCATGGCCCGAGACTGGCCCGATGCCCGCGGCATCTGGTGAGGCCCCGCTGCCCCAGGACCACCCCCTGCAACCCCTTCTAGTCCCCCCATGACCCTCCTCACTCCTCCACCAGAGTCATACAAATATGATGTTTTCCAAGTGCCCCCCAAATGATCTTGCCTCCCCTGCCCACCTTCCCTGGGGTCTGTGTGTCACATTTGGGGAAACCTGGACCCGAGGGGTGGCAGTTAGGAACTCAGACTTGAGCCAGACTCCCCAGGTTCAAATCCCAGGGCTGCCACTTACAAGCTGTGTGACCTTGGGCACATTATTTAATGTTTCTCTGCCCCAGTTTCCTCCTCTATAAAATGGAGATCACGATAATTCATAGCTGAGGATTAAATGAGTTAACTTATGTAATGCATTGGAAACAGTGCCTGGTATCCAGTAAGCGCTCAGTACATCTTGGCTGTTAGGATGATCTTTATCACTAACTGTTGTTGCTCGTTAGGCTTTCCGTGAATCTTAGAATCCCTGATTTGGAGAGTCAGATTTAAAAAGTTTTCCAGAATTTAGGTTTCAAATGATTTGGAGAGTTTGGGTTCTAAGATTTACACATTGGATGATTCTAAGATTTTAAATATTTTTAGGTTCTCAGACTCCACTCATTTCAGATTCTGTGATTCATGGTTTCCAGATCTAAAGTTTTATGATTCTAAGACTCTGTTTCTGAGACGTCACAATGTGATGATAGGATTCTCCGGTCCTGAGACCAGATGTAGGATTTCCAAGATTTATCAATTCTGATTCCAGGCTTCTATTTTTCAAAGATTCTGAGATTCTAAGAATCAAAGACTTAAGACCCTAAAAGCCCTTGATCTCGGGATTCGAGCTTTCACAGACCCCCGGGTCGTTAGTGTGTGCAGGTGTAAGCTTCTGCGGTTTGGAAGAAGCCGATGCCACCCGCTCCTGCCCCGCAGGCCCGCTGCCCCCTAGCGGGGGTATGTGTTTGCGAGAGCGGGGAATGGGGTTCCCGCGGAGCTGATTCCGCGGCCTCTTGCTGCGCCCCACCCTAGGCACAATGACAACAAGAGCTTCCTGGTGTGGGTGAACGAGGAGGACCACCTCCGAGTCATCTCCATGCAGAAAGGGGGCAACATGAAGGAGGTTTTCCGCCGCTTCTGCGTGGGGCTGCAGAAGGTGGGCGCCCGCCCCTCGAGGCTGACTTCTGACTCCACCCTGAGCACCCCACCCGCTTCCCAAAGGCCCCGCCCCTCGGACTCCAGCTCCTCCTTGTGCCCAAGCCCCGCCCCAGCCCCGCCCCACCCGCTGCCCAAGGACCCGCCCCTCGCACACCGGCTCCTCCCTGTTCCCAAGCCCCGCCCCCAGCACTGCCCCACCCTTTCCAAAGGCCCCGCCTCTTGGATCCCAGTTCCTCCTCGTGCCCAAGCCCCGCCCCTCGCACCCGCCCCACCCACTTTCCAAGGCCCCGCCCCCTGGGATCATGGCTCCACCCCTGTGCTCAAGCCCCGCCCCTAAGAACCTGCCTCCAAAGCGGATTCGGAATCTGCCACTGTCCGTGTCCCCGGGCCCCTCCGCTCAGAATCTCATCCCTCCCGGTTTCCAGCCCCGCCCCCTCGGAACCCCGCCGCCACCCACATACATTCTCACGCCCTGTCCCTCCGAACCCCGTCCCAGTTGCGGGCGTGTTTGGGGGTGCCCGCCGGCTCTGACCCCTGGTCCTCTCCCCCTACCTCAGATTGAGGAGATCTTCAAGAAAGCCGGCCACCCCTTCATGTGGAACGAGCACCTGGGCTACGTGCTCACCTGCCCATCCAACCTGGGCACCGGGCTGCGTGGAGGCGTGCACGTGAAGCTGGCGCACCTGAGCAAGCACCCCAAGTTCGAAGAGATCCTCACCCGTCTGCGCCTGCAGAAACGCGGCACAGGTGCGGCCCCGCATCCCCCCTGCGGCGGCGGACGCGAGGGGGGGCATCCCAGAGGGCTCTGGGGGTCGGCGAGGCTGCCCCTCTGTGAGCCTCAGTTTCTTCCTCTGCAAATGGACATCGGCAGGCCTTATCTCATAGGAGTCAATGTAACATCATCATGGTGATATAATATACATTGTGTATGTCTCCCGCCCCCTGGGGGCCTCAGTTTCCCACCTGTAAAGGGGAGGATGGTCCTGGCTCCAGAGCTGCTCTTACCCACCATGTTACATTTTCTTCTCGGATGGTTGAGGGGTGAGGAACCTAAAGCCGGAGATGTGGGCCCACGAATAGACAGACACCCAGGGGGCTTTGAGTGCACACATCCTGTTACACAGTAGGCGCTCAATACATGCGGCTGTCGCGTCGGCACGGGGACCGCGTCCCGGGCCGCGCTCCGGCACCTCTGCGTCCTCCTCACGCCCCTGCCTCCTGTTCCCGCAGGGGGCGTGGACACGGCCGCCGTGGGCTCGGTGTTCGACGTGTCCAACGCCGATCGGCTGGGCTCGTCCGAGGTGGAACAGGTGCAGCTGGTGGTGGACGGCGTGAAGCTCATGGTGGAGATGGAGAAGAAGCTGGAAAAGGGCCAGTCCATCGACGACATGATCCCCGCCCAGAAGTAGGCGCCCAGCCCGCCCGCCGCCCTCTGCTGGAGCCCCAGCCCGAGGGAGGAGCCGGCCCCCCGGAGGCCCGCCCCTTCACCCCTTGCCCCGCCCCTTTCCTCCGGAGGCCCAATCAGGGGTCGGTCCACCGGGGGCTCCATCCACCCTTCTCGGAGTTCCGATTCCAACCACAGTTCCAACCAATGGGCTCCATCCTCTGGGTTCTGGCCAATGAGAACCCTCCCTCGCGCCCTCTCCTTTTCCGGAGCTCCGCCCACCACCTGGAGCTCTGGCTGATGGAGAGGTGCCCAGCACATCTGGGGCTGATGCTTTCTCTCCACTCAAAGCAACAAATAAAAGCAATGGTGGCCTTAGCTTTGTGTGCGATGGTTATTGAGGGACGAGGAGGAGGGACTTTTGCAAGTGGCCGCTGTGTGACTTCGAAGTGGTTTGCCCTCTCTTGGCATGTACTAGGCATGTTTCAGCCCATCTCTAAAATGAGGCAAAGTTAGGGTACAGGGGCTAAAGCAAAAATTATAAGGCTCCATGGGGAATCTGAGACCCAGAGAGGTGTGGCCCAGTGTCACATAGCCAAGCTTGGGCCCTTCCCAACCTGGGCTCCCAATCACTCATGCTCAGATCTCTAACACAGGGATCACGCCAGGGAGAAATGCAGACCAAACAAAATCTCTGAGACTGGAATGTGGCCCGCGGGCCTCCAGTTTGAGACCTCCCATGCATCTCCTCACATATACCTCATTCTGCTTTTCATTAGCCTCCTTCTCTGCCGTCTGACTTCAGCCCTCTATCGCTGCTACCAGTCTTTTCAACTTCCCTAACTTTGCTCAAGAACCTGCCATGGCTCCCCACATCTCCTAGAACGCACCCCTATTATTTGCGATGCTTCAAGGTCAAACTGAAACGCGTACCACTTGCTGAAGACTCATTTTTCCAGTTGTGTCGCCATTATTCCCGTATATGCTCACTCTCTCCTTACCCCCTGCAACTCCCACCTTAATGTCTTTGCCCAAGCTGCTTCCTCCTCCAGACTGGGGCTTGGGGCAGAGCATCCCGGTGAAGTCTTCAGGGGTGGGCCTTTGGAGAGCTTGGTCCCAGGAAGGAGCAGGAAGGGGCCGTGGGGGGAGTGGAAGGAGCAGGTAATAGATGTCAAGAAGAATCTGAACAGGTATTGGGTGTTGGCCACGTCAATCACCGTTATTCCATCCAATAGGCTGAGGCCTCCACGAGCAGGGGCGGAGGGCGGGCCCAAAAAGAGACACAGGTTTCAGAAGGAAATGTGAGGCAGAATAAAGAGGACAGAGCCCTCAGGAAGCTGGAGGAAGCACTTTTTCAAACCTTAAGTCACACAGGTAAAGAGCTCTTAGAGATCAGGAAGTCTACTCTCCGTTGGACAGAGGGGAATCTGAGACCCAGGGATGTCCCCAAGAGCCCCCGGAGAGTTACTCAAACAGGAAGAAGAGACTCCAAAGGCCAAGGCAGGCAGGGCCTGTCAGACGTTGGGATGTCCTTTACAATATTGTCCCCAACTGAAGATGTCATCACTAATCCTAGCTCCACCCCCAGCCCACACAGACCACGAACACTCCAGCGGGACGGTCTGAGCCAGCCACAGCCGCAGTCCAGGCACCTGTCAGCTACCACACTTGTCCTGCCCATTTTGCCCCATAAGCCTGAAATACCCCTTCCCTCCTCACCTTCTGTCCTGCCCCGACCTCCTCCCTGCTCTTCTGACCTCTTTCCCTCCCTTTCCAGCACAAACCTGCCCCCGCCTCTCTCTTGCTCACAACCTCACCATGGCTCCCCAGTGCCCTTGGAAGAAAGCCTAGGCCCCTCTCCCCAACCTTCAAGGCTCTGCCAGCATCTCTAGCCTCACCTCTCAGTGACTCTATACTCACCCTAAATCATATACCATTTGCTAAAGGACCTGCACTCTCTCTTGCTTTCCAGCCATTGTCCATGCTGTTCCCTCCACCTAGAACGCACACCCCTCCATCCTGCCATGTTTAGCTAGCTGCTCATCACTCGCCCAGTCACAGCTGAGCTGCTCCTCCTCCAGGAAGCCCTCCTTGGCTGGGCAGGTGCCCCCTCTGGACTTCCCCAGCCTCTGGGCTCCCCCATACCAGCCCTGTCCACTCTAGATCATCACTGTGGATGTGCTGACTCTTCCACTGGACTGTGAGCCCCGGAAGGGCAGGCCTGGGGCTGTCTTGGTCACCACCGTGTCCCCAGCACAGGCTGGGCATGGAGGAAGCCCCCAGAGATTGAGATTTCAAGACAGGGTGGAATAGCAGTGATTGACGTGGCCAACACCCACGCCTCCCACACCTCCTTTTTCTGCGCTCTCAACTATAAACACCTCTTTCAGCACATCCCTATTCTGGCCTCACTCATAAGACAGGAATGCGGTTCTGCCCCATGAAGAACACAAGACAAGTGTCGACCCTACCTGCTCCAAATGGGCAACTGAGTTTTGTCTAGGCTTTTTCCCTGCATACAACCCTCCCTGGCTCCCCAGTGCCCTCGGATGAAAGCCCAGCTTGCTCACTTTGGCCCACAAGGTCCCGGGGAACAAGCCCTGCCCTCCTGTACTGCATGGCCCCTCCAATGCTTAAGTTGATTAAACTCCCATTTCCCTTCCCCTGCTCACACCTTGCCTCTCCTTTGGGGACCCCTCTCTAAGTCCAGCTCTAGGTACAGGCCTGGCCACTCCAGAGTCACACCGGCTGGTTCAGGGACGATCACATGACTTCTCTGGGCCAATGAGAGTCTGTCTTGGGACTTTTGCTGGAAGTCGGCAATAAAGAACTTTCTGCTGCAGCAACTAAGCTGGAGGGATGACAGCTTGGAACTGCTGGGGGTCATCTTTGCCATCAGGGAGTGCCTACTGTAAGAAACTACCAGAATGAAACTCACACTGAAAAAAGCAGAGGCGAGATGGCCTGCTGCCTAGATCCAGCCATACCTGAAGTCAGGCACCCTTGGACTATTAAATAACATAAGCAAACAAATACATTTTTGCTTAAGAGTAGATGGATTATTAGTCCTAATACAGCATTTCTCTTGCTAAATCTCCACCCACCCCCAATATAGCAGCCACACTGAAATTACCCAGAGTTCTCTGAAGATAAACCATGCTCTCCCAGCCTTTTGCCCAAGGCACACCCAACACTCGGTCAACTCCTATTCAACCTTCAAAGCCCAACTCCGGCATCAGTTCCACCAGAATGCCTTCCCCAAGCCCCCCTTTCTTTTCTGGGCTCCACAAAGCAATGGTTTCTTTAGTGCTTGTGTCAGAACCCATGTCCCCCACAGACAGGGGATCCTGTGTCTCCGTGTCCAGCACTGGGCCCGACATGGAGTAGGCACCGGTCAATGACTGTTTATTGAATAAATGTGCTACTGGAGTAAGAAGTGGTTCAGAGTCCGGTATACCGTGGGTGGGCGTGTGAGTGGATGAATGGGGTCCGATATGGGAACTGGGGCCTCGTGGATGAGGCCAAGTTCTGTCCTGCCCTCTCCCACGGTCATCCTTGACCCTCACACCCCTCTGCTCCCATTCTGCAGATGAGAACGCCGAGGCTCCGAAGGGAGAACCCACTGGCCCAAGGTCACACACCTCCTCTTCATCTCGCTTGTAGGGGAGGGCAGGGAAGGAAAACCCCGGGGTCAGCGTGAGGGAGGGGGACTCTCCTAAGTTTATTGGGCAACAGGCTGCAGGTGAGGGGGCCGACAGGAGGAGGGTGGGGGTGTAATAACTTAAAAACCGGAGGTGACAGCGGCAGCTCCTCGAGAGATCTCTGCAGAGGGGAGGGGTGGGGGTATTTACAAGGATTTGTACAAAGTGCCCCGCGCCAGCCTGCGGCAGGAAGGGGGGTTCGAGCACGAGGGGAGGGGGACGGGAAGGAATCTGCCTCTCGGACCCCCACGCCCAGCCCCCCCAATTCTCCAGTCTTTAGGCTCAGCAACTCTTCCTGCCCCTGCCCAAGGCCTAATTCTTGAGCTGTCGGGAGGAATGGAAGAGTTTCCTCAGTTTCCCTTTCTGCCCCGGCCCTGCCCCCAAAGTCTCCTCAGGTGCCCCATGGCGGGGCGAGGGGGGACAGGACCGGCTGGAGGCTCCAGGAAGGTGCCAGCTCCCCCTGCTAAGTCCCCTCGCTCTTCTCTCCTGCCCAGCGGCCCCGGAGAACAGCCGAGGGGACAATCTCGGCCCCCAAATCGAATCCAGGGAAACTCAGGTGATGACAAAACGAGAGCGCCCTCCCCGACCCCTCTCCCTCCTGCGGAAGTGAAGGGGACGAGGCAGAGGAAGGGGAGGGGACCCGGGCCGCGGCGGCTCAGAGCTCGAGGTCGTTGGAGATGCGGGTGACGAGGGTGCGGAAGGCCAGGGCGGTGCCCGCCACGCGGCGGAAGAGGACCCCCCGCAGGCCCGGCCGGGGCAGCTGGCAGACCTCCACTTCGAAGTGGGACAGGGGCTCGGGCCCGCCCGCACCCCCGTGCAGGCAGGCCAGCAGGAACGGCTGGGGCTGGCGGCAGCGGCAGCGGGCGGCCGCGGTGGCCTGGCGCAGAGCCGCCATCAGGGCCTCGGGCGGGCGCGAGCTGGTCAGCTTCACACTCCAGGGGAATCGGAGCAGCCGGGGGGCGGTTTCCGCTTGATCCCAAGGTAGATGGCAACTGAGGGGGGGGAGATCAGGGTCAAAGGTGGGAGAGAAGAGGACGGTAACCCGTCTCCCCCTCTCACCCCAGTGACCGAGTATCAGCTGGACAGCTGGCTGCTCAGCTGGAAACTACATTTCCCAGCCTCCCTTGCGGCCAGGCGTGGCCGTGTCTCCAAATTCCAGGATGTGAGTGGAGGTGACATGCGCAACTCCACACCCATCACCTCCTTGAGCTGGACTCGGCTGCAGCGTGAGCCAGCTTCCACTGTGAAGATGACCACAGGGCTCTAAAGGACGGGGATCCAACAACGTGGCTCCCTGAGTGACCTCAGGGAACAGAGTGGGCCTGCCTGCCAGGACTGGCCACGTGGTGCGTGTGAGAGAAATTTACTGCCGTGTGTAGGTTGGGGTCTCTGCTCCGATCTTGTTTCCTAAGTAACACATCCTCCTGGTAACAATCACCTTTTTTGGAGGACCAGCCCTCCCCACTCCAGACCACGGGTTTTCACCTAGAAGCAGTACTGTCCCCCAATGGGGTGTCTGGAAATTTCTGGGGGCTTTTTGATTGCCACAATGTGTCGGGATGGGAGCACCGCTGGCATTATTATGTTGGAGGGGAGGGATAGGAGACGATACATGTTCTTCAGCGTGTGAACGGCCCTGCACAACAAATAAATGTCCCGCCTAAACTACCAAAGGTGTCCCTCTTGAATGGGATCGCAGATTGAGTTTTTCTGGTTTAGGTGGGGCCAACTCTGCTCTCAGCTCCCAGGGTGAGCACATGACTCTGTTCTGGCCAAGGAGCGCATTCCACCTCCTCTGTGATTGGTTCAAGGCTGAGCACATGACCAGCTCTGACCAATCAGAGTCCTCCAGCCCTCTGACTACAGGCATTGGTTTAGGTATGGACACCTGACCCAGTTGCAGTCAATGAGAGTCAGTCCTGGGACTTCGTTGGATTTGCTGGGGAGGCTGTTTATTTCCACTGGGGTCTCTACACAGCGCTACCTGCTTTTGTAAATAAGGTTTTATTGGAACATAGTCATGCCCATTTGTTTTTGTATTGAATATGGCTGCTTTTGTGCTAATGGTTGAGCTGAATAGGGGTGACAGAGATTGTCCTGCCCAGGCATGGGGGTGGAAATGAGGGGAATCAGTGGGAGGAGGGCTAAGACGAGCAGAGGGGGGAATGAGGGGAGGTGCTGAGACAAGTGGGGTCCAACTCAGGGGAAGGGGAAGGGGCTGGTGTGGCAGTCAGGGGCAGGCACAAACACTCACCTTGTGACCTCAGGTCCCCCGATTCTCTCAGGTTCGTCTGTGACCCTAGGGGAAGGGAGGGGGCAGTGTCTAATCTGGACATGGGGAGCCCCTCCCCCAACCCACTGCTTCCAGGACTCTGGGCAGCCCTGCCTCAGCCCCGGTCCCTCCCCACTGGCTGGAGCTGGACTGGGGAGGGCCGGAAGTTGAGATCTGAGCTCTCTCTCCACGCCCAGAAGGGGCGCCCATTGTGAAATGGTTAGTGCAGGTCACAGGAAAGATATGGAAGAATTTGGAAGACAAAAGAGAAAGGGGGTGGGCAGAAACACAAACACCTACATACAGAAAGACGTGGACACACACACACACACACCCCTCCCTCCTTCAGGCTTTGCTTCAATGACACCTCCTTAGTGGACCATCCCATTTAAAATTGCGTCCTCCCTCTCCACACCCCGACCCCCCTTCCCTGTCTATTTCTCTCCTTAGTACTTGTCACTATCTGATAGTCTATATATCTTATTTATTTATTGTTTACTGTCTGGGTCTCCTAGTAGAATGTCGGCTCTGCCTGGGCAGGGATTTTACACATTTTGTTCATGCACTACTCCAGAGCCCCGGATGGCACCAGGCACACAGTAGGTGCTCAGTGAATAATAATAGCAAACATTTATAAAGCATTTTCCAAGGTGACATTCTGAGCTCAGTCCATATATCACCTCATTTAGCCCGCACGACAACCCTATGAGGAAGGTACTGTTATTACCATCCCCATTTTACAGAAGAGGAAAGTGAGGCCCAGAGAGGTTGAGTCACTTGCTCAAGGGCACTCAGCGGAGCTGGGGTCTGAAGCTCAAGAGTCCGGCTCCAGAGGCTGGATAATTGTTTATCAAAGGAGTGAGTAAATGAACGACATCCCACATACAGAACCCCTCCCCGCTCCCAGAGCCCCCGTCCCCCCATGCCTGCACACACAGATGGGACATGCAGACAGGGAGGCAGAGCCAGGGAGAGTAGAGGGGGCCGGGACTTACTGATCTTGGATCCCTGGGGCAGAGAGGCGCCCGAAACACAGCGGTTAGAGTTCTGGCGTTTAGAGGGATCGAGGGTAACCCTGCAGCGTGAGGAGGGAGGTGAAGGGTGACAGAGGAGGAGGAAGAGAAAGAGATGTGGGGGCACAGGAGGCAGAGCAGAGGAGAAGACAGGTTAGGCCCCATCAGCCCCCCATCCCACTCCCCACACCCCATGTCCCATGAGGCTCACCTTCGGGTCAGTTTGGAGGTTAGCTTGGTGAAGAGGTTGGTGGTGGGGCGGGGCCGCCCGGTGGGCAGGGGCGTGGCCTCGTGGGCCAGCGTGGGAGAGGCGGGGGGCCCATTCTGCACGCCCCCACCTCCCCCGCCCCCTGCCCGCCTGTCCCGGACCTGGCCACCGTGGAAGGTACTGCGGATGGTGGAGCCGCGGGCCAGGCGGCTCCGCTCCCCCGATGGGGGAGCCAGGCTGTGACTGGAGGGGGAGGCGGGGGGCACCCGTGGGGTACCCGAGCTGTGGGCAGAGACGGACAAGTCAGAGTGGGGCCTCGAGGCAGGTCAAGGCCCCAGTCCCTCTGATTCTTCACTGTCCTATCCTGAGACCAGACCTCAACCAACCTAGAGCTCAGAGACAGGGCTGCCAGGTACGGTTGTGCGGGCTGTGTACTAGACAACCCTAGTATTATTTTACCAACTTCTCTCCCCTCTTAAGTCACCCCTCCTCCAAACTGTCCTTTCTTCAAACTCTACGCCCTCCCAATTGTCCCCATCCCAACTCTCCTCTCTCCAAACTCAGCAATAAATAGATTCAAATACATTTTTGGATGAATCTCTTAACTATTTGCCATCCAAATCTCAGGACCAAATCAACTCTGCAAACACTTTGCTATCTGAACTTTCGTTATTCAAATTCAGAAAAGGAATAGATGTGAACGTCAAGGGTACCTATCTTCATTATGACAATTTTTCGACACGTGAAAATAAAGAGGAAGAGACTTTCTTCCTAACTTTCTCAAGATGCTCTGTGGACAGTGGTAGCTCCACTGTCCCAAGACCCTCCTCCAACCCCTCTGGCCCTTCCAGTCCTGACAATAGGGGCCAGACCTCCAATTTCTATTCTTTCAGCCACCCCAGGACCATCCTGGATCTCAAAGAGGGAACCTTGACTGTGTCAGATGCCTCCACCTCTCCCCCAGAATCCATCATCCTTGTTTTACTCTTAGTAACCAAACCTCTAAGAGCATGAGCACTGCACATTGCCATCCAGCCAGAGACTACACTTCCCAGCCTGCTTTGCAGCTAGGGGTGGTCATGTGACTATGTTCTAGCCAATGGGATACAAACAGAAGTGCTTTGTACCATTTCTGGGTCATGCCTCTAAAAAGAAGGCAGTTTGCACTCCACTCTCCTTCCACCCCTCTTGCTGGTTGGGAAATGGTGGCATCTGACGTAGCAGCCTCAGACTCAGAGCTGGAGCCTCATGCTGAGATTGGCAGAATCAACCTGGGCCCTTGGAGGACCCCACCTGCCTACCTCTGGCTGGTTACATCACAGAGGACTAAACCTCCAACCCATTGAAGCCACTGTACCTGGGGTCTCTTTGTTACAGCAGCTGAGTCTATAATCCAACTATACACCATCTCTTGACCGGAACTGGAAGGCCATGCCTTACAGCAGTTACAAATACAGATTCTGGAGTCAGTCTGGGAATCTTTGCTCCTTATCAGCTGTGTGGCCTTGGGCAAGTTACTTAACCTCTCTGTGCCTCCTTTCCTCAGCTGTAAAATGGAGACACCACGATCTACCTCACAGAGCTGTCAGGGGCATTCAACCAGCCAATATACAGAGGCCTGGCACATGATAACTGCTTGATGAATGTCAGCTATTACTATTTTTATTTAATAACCACAAAAAAAGCTCTTAGGCATGGAATGCCTACAATGTGTCAGATCCTGTGCCAGGTACAGGACACACTTGATCTCCACTGGGTCCCTCTAAGGGGGCCCGGAGGCAGAGAACCTCAGCCCCATCTTACAGAGGCGGAAACAGAGGCTCAGAGACTTGTCGAAGGTAATCCTGCTAGCTGAGCGCAGAGGCAAGATTTGGAACCCAGAGCTGAATAGCCACAGATTCCCTGTCTCCATCACTCCATCTCTCTGCCTCCCTTTATCAGGTGTCTCCCAGAGTGCACCTCGGCATCACGCCCTACAGTCCTGGCAGGTGGGTGTGGCATTATCCAGAAGCCCGCCCCCCTCCTGGACTTGAACTGTGCTATGAACTAATTCCTTCTCTTTTTAGGCTCCAGCCCGTCTGCACTGGTTTCCCTCACTTCCCAGCTGACAGAGACCGAAGAGACTCAAGCAAAGAAGTTTGAAAACCAGCCAACCAGAGGATGCTGAAGCTGTGCCATTCTGGGGCTTCTCTCAAGTTCTAAAAATGGATCATTCAAAAAAAAAAATCAACTCAGGTTCCCAAGGCTGGTGGGTGGAGAACAGGGCAGACTGGTTTCCTGGTGTTGATGACTAATTAATTAAGGGGGGAGGATTTCCAGGGGCATCTGGGAGGGGGAGGATGTGGGTAGATTCTGGCAAGAGCAGGGCAGACACATACACGCCCCAGTCCCCCCCACGGCACCCCTCCCCAGTGTCTATCGTCTTAGATCAAGGGGGGCCCTGCTCACCTACACCCTGCTCCCCACCCCGCCCCCCACTGCTGCCTCCTCTCTGTACCTGTTCTCTTTGCCATTTGGCAACAGCGATGGACGCTCAGCCCCCGGCCGTTCTGTGCAGACGTAGGTGTTCCTGCGGGTCATCATGCTGGGTGGGAGGTTGTTCTGCAGGAGAAATGTGAGGAGGGGAGTGAGGGGGCGAAGGGACACCCCTAACTCCCCCTTTTTACGCTCTCTGGCCTCCCTCATTATGAATGAGGCAGTGGCCTGCGTGTGAACCGAGAGTGAGCAGCCCTCCGGGCCATGGGGCCCAACGGTGTGGCCCATTAATGGGCCATCTCAACAATGTCAGCTGAGTCACAGGAGGCCACGGGAGCTGAGAGGAGAGCGGGTCATGGAAGGCTTCCAGGAGGCAGCCTTGTCCCCCTCTCCTCTCCCAGCTCTACCCCACTTTGGTACAGTTTAGCCACATCACACTTTTTTTTTTTTTTTTTTTTGCCGAGAAAGATTCACCCTGAGCTAACATCTGTGCTAATCTTCCTCTATTTTGTATGTGGGTTGCCGCCACAGCATGGCTGATGAGTGGTGTAGGTCCGTGCCCAGGAATCGAACCCAGGCCGCCGAAGCAGAGGGTGCCAAACTTAACCACTAGACCATGGGGCCAGCCCCCAAACTTTGTCTAACATACTCATTCATGCCACATTTTGTCTCTCCTCTTAGCCTTTGCACATGCTGTCTCATCCTACCTCCCTCCTCTGTATCTTTCAGGTGTCAGTTCATCATATACCCCACTCTCCGTCCCAGGCTGAGTCAGGGACCTCCTCTGGGCTCTCCACTGCAGCCTAGATCATTTGCATTGTCAGTGTCTGTTCACATATACGTCCCCACCCCGGACTGGACTGGGAGCCCTCTGAGGACAGGGAACGTCACACCAGGATTATGTCGCCTCATAAAATATGCTGGGAAGTGGTCCCTCTTTTTCTATCCTCTGGAAGTTTGTCTAAAATCGGTAATACATCTTCTTTCACTATTTGCAAGAATTCCACCAGTTAGAGCTACCTGGGCCTGGAATTTTCTTTACAGGCAAGTTTTAAATTTTGGAGTCAATTTAACAAGAGTATAAGACTGTTCAGGTTTTCTATTTCTTCTCGTGTCAGTTTTGGTAAACTGTGTTTTTAAAGACATCTGTCCATTTTATCAAAGTTGTCAAATTTATTGGCATAAAATCATTCCTAATACCTTCTTACTTGCTTTTTCTGTCAGAACATAGTTCTCGTTTTCATTTCTGATATTAGTAATTTGTGTTTGCTGTCTGTTTTTCTTCATCAGTTTTGCTAGGGGTCCACTGATGTTACTCATCTTTTCAAGAACCGGCTTTTGGCTTTGTCAATTTTCTCTAGAATACATCTGTTTTCTCCTTTATTGACTTTTTTTATTATTTCCTTCCTTCTACTTCTTTTGGGGCTCATTTGCTGTTCCTCTTCTAGCTTCTCAAGGTGTGGGTTTATTTTAACAATAACAATAGCTCTCATTCATGGAGTGCTTACTGAGCCAGACACTCTGTGAAGTACTTTATGTACAAGACCTCACAAGACCCTCACAACAACCCAAGTTCTCTGATGAGCCCATTTCACAGGATGCAACATTGAAGCTCAGAGAGGTGAAGTCACTTGCTCAAGGTCACACAGCTCATCAATGTAATCAAACTCACACTCTTCTCTGTGGCTGCAGAGTCCTGATCACTTTCCTGTACCTTGCCTCGACCCTTGTCTCCCGATGTTAAGGCTATTTTGGTTCCATCAACCTCCCATTCTAGAGAGCTGCAGAAGCAGGAAAGCCAAAGACTACATTTCCCAGACTCTGCAGCTCAGGGTCTGCACATACATGGCTTCTGCCAATCTTTGCATTCATGAAGATTTGGAAGGTGGAGATGGGGTGGCAGGCACCTTCCTGTGCCCTTTGACTTCTGCTCACACAGGCAAGGTCACGAGATGAGGGTCTTTGCTTCAGCGGGGTCCCTGTGCCTGTTCTCCCAGCCTCTGGGCGTCAAGGGGCTCTGCTGGTGGAGGATGGAGTCTCTGAGTCTTGGACGGCAGCCGTGACCACGTGTTCTTGAATTTCACGGTGCTGGAGGTGGCCTCAGGGTGGCAGCTCCCTTGGTGGGTGAGTTCTGCTGTGTCGACGTGTCATTCCTGTGGGTCTTGTGTGCTGTCTGCTCCTCCGGTGCTCCCTACAATTCTGTAAGCGCCTAATTCCCTGTATTAAATCCTTCCTGCTAAAGCAAGTACAGTCCTTCCTTCCGACATGATGCTAACTTATACACTAGCATCAGGTAGAAGTTCAGGCAAACAGACAGCACTCAATAAATGTCTGTCGAATGAATGAATGAACGGCTGTAGCAAGGGGTCCTGCGTGCTGGTCTGGGGAACATGACGGGGAACAGCAGGGTGTGAAAAATGTGAACCAGGTGGCGTCTGCAGGTCGGGCCACGGGTGGTGGCACCCCCAGCCCGGCCCCCGCACCCCGGCCACTCACAGGGGTGCTCGTGCTGTCCTTCCGCCGCTCTGGGATCTCTGCCTTGTTGGGGTTGTGGGCGCTGCTGACCATGGGGCTGGAGGGGGGCAGCCCTCGGCTCCCGCTGCCCGCTGCGCTGCAGCTCGCCTTCCGGCCTGGGAGGCGCTCCTCCTTCAGCTCCGTCTCCCCCGTGCTGGTCGGGCTGCGCTTGGGGTGCAGGGGGGCGGGGGATGGGCCACCTGGTGGAGGGAGGGGACAGTGAGGGCTGGCATCACCTGGAAAAGCCAGGACCTACTCTGGGTGATCCTCAGGACCTTAGAATTCCTCGCACAGGCTATGATCTCTGCATAGGCCGTTCTGACTATATCTGTGCAAATGACACACACACATACGCTGACCCAGAAACTCCACATAAATGACACGATGCACGGACAGGTTATTCATTGCGTCATTCTTTTTTTTAGGCCAAAAGATTGGGAACAGCCTAAATGCCCGTTAATAAGGGAACAGCTTAATAAATCAAGATATTTCCACATGATGGAATACTACGCAGCTATAAAAAATAACGAGGAAGGTCCTTATGTACCAATATGGAATGATCATCAAGCTAGACTGTAAAGCAGAAAAGGCAAGGTGTGAGGCCTATGGTGTGCTGTATAAAAATGGGGATAATGTATATCTATATGTATCTATTTATCTGCATTATTTGTTTATATATGAATACCTCCAATAGATTATCATTTGTATTAAAAGTGGAGAACATTTTCTTTAAAATATATTAATATAAGAATATTATATTTATGTATCTTTATATATCTCTTTTCTTTTTCTCTTTCTCCTTTTCACATCTATCTCTTTATATATTTATGTACAAATAAAATCTCTCCAAAAGAATCCATATAAAACCAGTAACAGTGCCTGCGTCCAAGGAGAGCTGGTGGCTGGGAGAAATGTGTAGGACGGAGACTTTTTTACTGTCTACCTTCTTCCCTATCAAATTTTAAGGACATGACTGTATTAGTTTCAAAAACAAATCTGGTCCTTTAGAATATCTTTGGAATTTACGGTCTTAGAACCAGGGGGTTAAATGTGTAGAACTTCAAACAGTCAGAACTTCTGTGTGTGAAATTCTCAGGAAACCTAATGCTTGAAAGTCCCAGAACCACAATAGGCTGAGAGCTCTACAAGGACTGACAGGGGGCCCATCAACAATCCTTCACCCCAGAACCCCTGGGACCTAGACAGTTTCCATGTGGGCATTTAAAAGGTTACCATGTTCTAACCACAGGATGTTGGAGTCCCAAGCTTCTTAGGGACTTGAAGTCCCACCCTTGAGTAAGAACTCTACCCCTGCAGAGAAGTGGGGCTGCAAAAACAACAGAGAGCTGGAAACACTCTGGCAATTCCTCACAACGTTAAACAGAGTTATCAAGTGACCCTGCGATTGCACTCCTAGGTAAATGCCCAAGAGAAATGAAAACATACGCTCACACAAAAACCCGTACAGACATGTTCACAGCAGCACTATTCACAATAGCCAAGATGGAAACAACCCAAATATCCATCAGCTGATGAACGGATAAACAGCCGGTATATCCATGTGTATTCACACAATGGAATATTACTTGGCAATGAAAAGGAATCAAGGACTGGTCCAGGCCACAACATGGATAGACTTTGAAAACATGCTAAGCAAAAGAAGCCAGACACAAAAGGCCACATGGTGCATGATTCTATTTATATGAAATGTCCAGAATAGGAAAATCTATAGAGACAGAAAATAGACTAGTAATTGTCAGGGGCTGGGGGTTAGGGTGGATGGGGGATTGGGGGTCAATGGCTAAGGGTTGTGTAGTTTCTTTCTGGGGTCTTGAAAATGTTCTAAAGTTGACTGTGGTGATGGATGCACAGCTCTGTAAATATACCAACACCACTGAGCTGTACACTTTAAATGGGTGAATTGTATGGTATGTGAATGATATCTCAATAAAAAACAGTGCAGAGGATTAATATTTGATGAAGGTGTAGGTAAGAGACCTCTTGGAAGTTTCCACGCCTAATTTGTGGTGGTGGTGACGGTGTCTATTTATTTTCTGCAGGTGATGAGATATCTGTCAGTTGCAGAACGTGGAGTACAATTAGGCGTCTGCCCAGCCCCTTTCCACTAGTAAGGGCCTCCCCTCATCTCAGTGTGGAGGAGAGGCCAGAGGGCAAGCTCTCAGCACGCACTTTGTACAACGTGTCCTCCTGCATCCTCGTCGAAATGGATTAATCCCAACTGGACCCTGCTATCAGAGTTCCATCCCCGACAAATGGACCAAAGAGATTCCAGCTGCCATTTGGGCTGGTCTCTAAAACTGAGATGGAAGGAGCTGAGAGATTGGGAAAAAGATCAGGTGAGATAAGTAAGAGAGAAAGGAAAAAACCAGACAGGCAGAGAGGAAGCAAGACACAAGAGTGTCTGCTCTGGGTCTGGCTGCCTTTCCAGTTTCTAATCCCTTCCTGAGCCTGGCTGGCTCCAAGTCCCACGCAATGCCCCTGCTCCTTTATAAGAAATTCCTCCCTTTACTGCAGTTGGCTTGAGCGGGTTTCTGTTGCTTGCAGCCTGAGAACCCTGACGTGACGCAGGGGCACTGGGGCCGGAGACGGCATGTGAGGGCGTGGGGCGGGTACTCACAGAAGTCGCTGTGCCTGCGCTGGCGGTGGTAGGTGGAGGAGGAACTCCGCTGCCCTTTGCTGTGGCTGGTGCCTTTGCTGGAGGCTGTTCCGTTGGTGGTGTCGCTGGGCGCCCGCACCCGTGCCAGGGCCAGCCCCGGGGTGCCCCGGTCCCCACCCTCCTGCGGGAAGATGACAGACGAGGAGCCTCAGCCCCTGTCCCTGAAGTCCCTGAAGTCCCTCCACCCCGGGCATCCCGAATGCCCCTGGCGCCCTCTGACCTCAGTCTTCCTGCCCAGCAGGAGGTAGGTGGCGGTCACTTCGTTGTACTTCTGGCTTGTCAAGGCCTCTCTGATTTCTTCCCGTGTGTAGCCCATACCCACCATCACCTCTGGGAGAGGGGCATGGAAAGGAGGGTCAGTCTCCCCAGACCCTTCCCTTCCATTCGTTTCTGCGTCACATAGCTCTTTGGCCTGTCCAGTATCCATTCGCCCTTCTGCCAGCAGCACCCTCATTTTCCTGGGAAGAACATTCTTTCCTTGCTCCCATCACCTGGCTGACTCCTGCCTGCTCTGAGCCCAAAGGGCAGGCATATAACCCAGGTCTGACCCATCAGAGTGTTCCATCCCCAAGGCCACACTGATTGGTTCAGAGCAGGCATATGACCCACATCTGGCCAATCAGAACACTTCATACCCAAAGCCACACTGATTGCCTCAGGGAGGGCATATGACCCACTTCTGGCCAATCAGAGTGTTCCATCCCCAAGGCCAAACTGATTGGTTCAGGGGTAGCCAATGGGCACCAGCCTAGGGCTTCTATTGGAACATTAGGAAAGTGGCCTATCTTTCTGATGGTGTCCAGGCCACTAGGATATGCTGTTGCCAGCTTGCTCCTCGGGGGCGAGCTGCTTGGGAAAGAAGCCACCACTGAGAAGATTACCAACAACTGACTCTGAGCACCTGGATCCAGCTGTGCCTGAAGGCCAACATACCCTGGCCTTTTTAGTTATGTGATGAATAAGTTATCAGTATTAAATTAAACCACATGAAACTGCTGGTACTGACAATTTTTGAGCTATAAAAATGACAATTTCACATGGTTCAATTTATTATTATTATCTGGTTTAAGCCAGATCAGCTTGGGTTTTGTTATTTGCAACCACAAAGTCCTGATTAATGCAGCCAGCTCTGATAGTGGCCTCAGTCTCCTCAGCTGTAGAATGGAGGGTGAGTGGATGGCTCCTAAGGGGCACTTCCAAGGCTAATGAATGCCTTAGGGGTCAAGAGTTTGTGGGTTCCAGGATGGAAGGAGGGGGACCATAGGCGTGGTGAGTGAGGCATGTGTCAAGGTGGGGGTTTCCCCAAACACACAGATTACTGATGGCTTGTGAGCAAACTCTTCTAGAAGTGACCTACGATTTCTTTTCGTGTCTTAGTAGTCAAACCTAACACACATCACCACTTATTACACATCCAATATAAGCGCTTGATGTAGATGAACTCATTTAATATTCATAACCCCAGGAGACAGCTTCTACGATTATCCCATTTTATAGATCAGGAAATAGAAGCCCAGAGAGGGGAAGCCAGTTGCCCAAGGCCACACAGCTAGAAAGCAGCAGCACAAGGATTGGAGCCTGGACTTCTCCGCTCTCCCTAATCGCCTCACAAATTTCTCTGCTGCACTAACCAGAGGGGTAGGCGCTGGGAAGCTCCCACCCCCAGCTCTGTGGCCCCCCAACCCTCACCGATTCGCTTGGTGTCCCCGAAGTCCTCCTCAGGCTCCGTGTAAGGCTTCAGCTCCTCACCCTCATAGCCGATGTTGATCCATTTGTCTTTCATGATTTGCTGAAGGAACCAGGAGCAGGACAGGCAAGGGAGACGGGTGTCAAAGAAACTGAAAAAAATACAGCTCACCACCTCCCAGGTAGGCCCCCAAGTGGGGCCATCTACCCTGTTCCCCACCTCCAAGGCCTAATACCCCAGAGTCCAGGGCTTCTGAACTAGCACCTCCTCGTCCCCCGGCCCCCGCCCCCCCTTAGCCGGAGCCTCCCAGTGCCAACCTCCCTCCTCCGCATCATCTGGGGCCCCGCCACCTTGTGATTACCCTGGGAACGCATTAGCTAATTACGGGCATGGCCGGGAGTGGGCGAGGCTGGTGGGGGCGGCATCGGGACAGGCCCGGGAGGCTGTTCCCGTGCTGCCTGTCTCCCCCACCTTCCAGGCAGGTGGGCACAGGGCAGGAAGAGCGGGGCTGGGGCTTACCTCGAGAGTACAGCGTTTAGCTGGGTTCAGCACCAAAAATCTCCGCAGGATGCTCTCACAGTCTGTCGACATGTAGAAAGGGACCCGGTACTTCCCTCTGAGGACTCGCTCCCGCAGCTCCTGCAGGGACGGGGTTACTGGGGGCGGGGTCTCTCACACACACACACACACACACACACACACACACACACACACACACTCTCTCTCTCTCACTCATCTTTTTCTCAACCCCCCACAGAAGCGACAGGAGCTCCAAGTCTCAGCCCCGACAAGGTGGGCAGGACCCCACTGCTCTCTCCCGACCTCAGTTTCCCATCTGTAAAATGGGAACACTGTATTAGATGCAGCAACTAAAAAAATTTTTTTCTTTTAAAGCTCCGTAACTTCATTCAGAGGAAATCTTCCAGAGAAAGTGACTTCTGTGAGCCAGATAAGAGGGGAGGCGGGCCGGTGAGTCAGCCTCTGGGGCCCCGTCACTTCCTTATCTGGAACCACGGATCACGCCCACCTCCCAGGCCAGGGTGTGAGTGAGTTTGTAGAAATAAATGCCACACGTGTCAGGCCCAGAGCAAGTGCTATTTACACATCAGGTTCACAAAAGAGGATGGAGGGGTTCCAGCCCACCCCTCTCCCACCCCCGGAACTCCCTCCTCCCCTAGACAGGGCGCCTTTCCAAATGGCTATGGGGCCCTGGCAGTCTCAAAGGACAAGTGCTGATTTATATGCTGACTTTTTTTTTTTTTTTTTGCTGAGGAAGATTGGCCTTGAGCTAACACCTGTGCCCATCTTTCTCTATTTTGTATGTGGGTCATCACCATAGCATGGCTGACGAGTGCTATAGGTCGTGCCCAGGATCTGAACCTGTGAACCCAGGCTGCCGAAGCAGAGCACACGGAACTTAACCACTACGTTACCGGGCTCGGCCCTGACCATTTATTTTAGGTGACTTTTACAAGGGGCCCAGCCGAGGCTGTGAAAGAGAAAATAAATTCCACGCTCCATGGCATGGCAGACCAGGGAGAGCCCATTCCATCCCAGATGAAGGACTCAGGAGACAGAAAATGGAGGGGGTGATGAATGGGGAGATGGGGGGTGTCTCTTGGGGTGGAGCCCTGTGCCGGGGACCGGGCTGGGAGCTCCCTTCTGGGACATTCTCCTAAAAGGGCTGGAAGAGGCATGCGCCTGGGGAGCTTCTCGGGTCTGCAGACCATCACCGCCGGAGGGTCGTGAATATTGAATACTGACAAGCGTCACTTTCAGAGCACTCAGCCTGAGCCGGGCAGCCGTCTTTACGCACATTACATCTGCCTTCACAATGCGTTATGATGCCCATTTTCCAGATGAGAAAACTGAGGCCCAGAGGTTAAGTCACCCGTCCTGGGATTGTGTGGCCAGGAAGTGGCAGGGCTAGGGTTCGAAACCAGGCGGTCGGGCTCCAGAGGCTGTGCTGTGTAACCACAGTACCACACCGCCTGTCACGTGATGGCGAGCAGCAACCAGCGGGCCGCTGCCAGCACCTCCCGAGTGGCTCCCGAGTGTGACGCCCTGGCCAGACGCTAAGTCCTGGTGAAGGGCTTTTCACACCCAGTCTGGCTGTAAGTGGATACTCTTTATGTCCCCACCTACAGGTGGGGAAACTGAGGCTCAGAAGGGACTTGTCCAAGGTCACTCAGCAAGGAAATGACAGAACCAGGATCTGTCTCCAGCTGTGTGTCTCCTTCGCCCAGCAAGCCCTGGGGCGCCTGATGGGGAAACCAGGACACGAGGAGGTGACAGGGCCTGGGGCAGGCGTGATGCCAGCCTGGCCCTTTGAAAAGGTCTCTTGGTTTCATGCTAGGGGCTCCAAAAGATTCTTCTGTGACAGTGAGCACTTTGCACACCTGGTCTCGAGGACTCGCTGCTGTGAGGTTGGTACTTTATGGTCCTTAGTGAGGAGAGGGGGAGACTGAGGCTCAGAGGGCCGGCCGAGGCCCCTGGCAAGAAGGGGGTCCCTCCTCGTCATCGCTCAGGTCTCCGCTCTGATGGCCTGTGCTCAGCAGGGACTTCCCTGACCTCCTGAACGCTCCTCACAGGCCACGTGGAACAGGACTGAGCATTTCTCTGCGGAGTTCCCAACCAAGATGCACCAGGGGACTCCAATCACGAGGAACCACCGGGCAACCCACACTGAGGGCGGTCCTGCCACACGACTGGCCTGACCCCGCCCACAATGCCGTGTCACGGGAGACCCAGAAAACCCGTTGCAGAAGAGAAGGGGCTAAAGAGACAGGATGACAGAATGCAATGCAGGGTTCTGTGTGGATGCTGGAGCCAGAGAAAAAACAGCCCCCAAGGATATTCTTGGGACATCTGATGAAATCTGAGCATATGGACCAGGGCTGAGAGAGGCCAGGATTGCATCGATGCTGAATGCCCGAGTGTGATCGTGGACAGGAAAATGCCCCGTCTCAGGAGGCACATGCTGTATGCAGCCTTTAGGGATAAGAGAACATCGTATCTGCAACTAACTCTGGAATATTCCATCACTAACGATGATGACAACGATACCATGTGCATACACAGTCAGATAGGACAAATGGGTCAAAGGCTAGCAATTGGTGCATCTCTTGAAAGCTACCACGGGTTCGTCCTACTCTTGCAACTTTTTTGCAGACTGGCAACGTTTCCGAATAAAAAGTTCAAGGGAAAAAAACACGCAACACTACCACTCACCTCAGGCTTTCCACCTGCTGCTGGAATGTTGGCCCACGAGGGCAGGAATTTTTTTTTAAGCGCACAATTTAACGGTTTTTAGTGCATTCATGGAGTTGTGCAACCATCACCACAATCAACTTGAGAACTTTTTTTTTTGCTGAGGAAGATTCGCCTGTTTTTTTGCTTGAGGAAGATTGGCCCTGAGCTAATATCTGTGCCCATCTTCTGCTATTTTTTTGTATGTGGGTCGCCGTCACAGCATGGCTGGCAAATGGAGTAGGTCTGTGCCCGGGATCTGAATTTGTAAACCTGGGCCACCGATGTGGAGCTCGCAGAACTTTAACCACTCGGCCACGGGGCCAGGCCCCTAAAAACATTTTCATCACCCCAAAAGAAACTCTGATCTCAAACTCCCCCAACTTCCTCTAGACTTGGGCAACCACTAGTCTGCTTTCTGTCAACACGGATTTGCCTCTTCTGGACATTTCTTATTAATGGAATCATACAACCGGCGGCCTCTTATGACCGGCTTTTCCCACTTAGCGTGTTTTCGAGGGTCGACTATGTGCAGAACATTTGAAGGCAGGGTTGTTGCCTCTCTGGTCCTCTGCAAAATCTAAAACTCCCAGACCCATCGACGGTGGGCCAAAAATACATATGAGTGAATGAGTGAGCGAGCCAGGATTTGAACTCAAGCCTGACAGCTGCACAGCCTGTGCCCTGAACCCCGACACAGTGTGGTCCACTTGGGCTGCCGCACGGCCGTGGGGACCTGGGTCCTCCCTGACCCCCATCCTGCCGTGTGACCGCAGGCCAGCCCCGCCCCTCCGGCCCCCTGCAGAGGAGGTGTGCGGGGGCTGGGGGCCTGGTTGTGGGGTTGCAGAGACCCTCCCGGGGAGAGTGAGACCCCCACGCCGGCCCCGCCTGGCACCTTGAGGTTGTGCCCGTCGAAGGGCAGGGAGCCGCTGACAAGGGTGTAGAGGATGACACCGAGGCTCCAAATGTCCACCTCGGGACCGTCGTACTTCTTGCCCTGGAACAGCTCCGGGGCGGCGTACGGCGGGCTCCCGCAGAACGTGTCCAGCTTGGAGCCCAGCGTGAACTCGTTGCTGAAGCCGAAGTCAGCGATCTTGATGTTGGCCTCGGCGTCCAGCAGGAGGTTCTCGGCCTGCGGGGAAGGGACAGGGCAGAGGGTGGGCACGCGTGGCGGACGGGAACACAGCCTCCAGAGCTGGCCTGCCTGGACCAACTGTGGCCCTGTCCCTACTCTCGGTGTGACTTTGAGCAGTGACCTTATCCCTCTAGGCCTCGGGTTCCTCATCCACAGAATGGGGACAACCACGTCCCTACCTCACGGTGCTGTCTGAGAATTAAATGAGTTAATCCACGTGAGAGGCCTGGAACATTTATACCCAGTAAGCGCTATATAACCTTAGCTACTATTATCCCATGTGGTCTGCAGAGGGGTCCTCAGGCAATCTCTTGCCTCTCTCTGAGCCTCAGTTTACCCAGCAGAAAAGAAAAAAAGAGGACTGCTAAGACTGACAACAATGAAAACAGGAATTTTATCTAATACTTACTATGCACCTACTATGCGCTGGGCTGCGTGGACTATCATTTATAAGAGCGGCTGCATAATGTAGGGTTAAGAGTACAGATTCTGGAAGAATCCCAGCTTCGAATCCCAGCTCCACCACCCACTCGCTGTGTGACTTTTGGTGGGTTACCAGCCCTCCCTGTGCCTCAGTTTCCCTATGTGTAAACTGAGGGTCATCACGGCACCTGCCTCATAGGCAGTCGTGGGGATAAACGTCAAGTGCCCAGCACAGTGAGGGGACAGAGTCAGCACTCAGTAAATGCCTCCTATTGTTATGAGGTTTGGTCTGCTTTTAGTGGCATGTGTTCTTGTAAGAGCCACTTCACAGACGAGGAAACTGAGGTTCAGGGGGGCCACCTCGTTGGAATCCAAAAGAAGACTGGCCTCCCCACGGCCTGAGCGTGGAAGGAGGTTCCAGCATCCTGCATTGTCCAGCTTTCTGACTACAAATTGGCACACCACCCGCCTTTCAAAATGTCGCCCATGTCTGGACCATGCCACCCTGGCCCTTCCCTAGCCAGGCCTCCAGCATCTCTGGCTCCCTCCTGGTCTCCCTACCTCCTGGTGCATTTCGTACCAACCTTCCCCACCTCTGACCCAACAGGGGGACAGACCCACAAGATACACACTCCAGAGAGATCTCCCCCAAAACTCAATGTGATGGCATCTTGCTCAGGGGTGACATTCCCCTTTCTGGCATCTGAAGCTTCACAATCTAGCCACAACCCCACATCTGGGTCGGTCCCGGTGGCTGGTCCCCCTGGTGAACTAATCAGATCCTGAAATCCCTTTTAGCCACTTCCAGGACCCCCCACCAGGGGGCGTGCCTCCTCTGATAGATCTTCACCATCTAGGACACCGACCACCCCCCTTTCAGGGCACTCAGAGCCCCTAAAAGGCCTCCTCGTATGGTTAGCACAGAGACAAGGGAGTATCTGGAAACTTCTACAGCAATTTGACAGTAGGAATTTGAGGTTTTTTTGAATCTAATAACTTAAAAAATTGGGCTTGTATCTTATACATCTTTTTTTCATTTCATTGCCACTGTACTTTACAAAAGCACCTGTCCATGAGGGAGGGGGAATGGAAGGCACTAAAACACACCTGGGCCTCCACTACAGACGCCTTGAGAAGACCTTCCTTAGCGCACAGGGCCTGGCATGTGGTAGGTGCTCAAGAAATGAGAGTCAGGACAACTCACCAGAGCCATACAAACATCTCTCTCTGGTCTAAGACAGGAGGTCCTGAGATGGGCGGGGGGTCTCTCCAGTGGGAGGTGTGGAGCGGGGACCCGGGGACACAGAGCGCCTCGAGGGGCTGCCCCACCTCAGCTCCAGCCGGCAGCAGGGTCCAGGCCAGCAGAGTCCCCTCCCCGCCCAGCGCTGGCCTCGGGGGTTCAAGTTCTAAGACGCCCAGTGATCCTAAGACCCTGAGGCAAGGTGACTCAGGGCTCTATAACCTCGACTCTCAAGGATCCTGAATGTCCTACAGTCTGCGAGATGGCCAGGCTCCGAGAGGGAGGAGCTCTTTATCGCGCCCCGGTGTCCTTGTCTGGCACACAAGGGACTGTCCAGGGCCGTCCTGGGACACTGTTTCTTTCTCCTTTGTTCCCTCCTCCTATCTCCACCCCCCTCCCCTCCCCCATCCTCTGGCCTTGTTTTTGCCACAAAAGCTTGAGAACAAGTCAAGGGGCTCTGGACGCTGAGGGAGGAGCACGGGGCAGGCAGGGGATGTGCTGGAGGGTAGAGGGACCCCAGGGGACTGCAGACAAGCAGGGGGAGGGGGGTGGGGGGCTCACCTTCAGGTCCCTGTGGACAATGTTCTTCTGGTGACAGTAGTGCACAGCCGATACAATCTGGGGAGAGGGGGAAGGTCAGTTACTTGCGGCCCCCAAGCCCCTTAGCAACCCTGTGACCCACTCACAACTGAGGCCCCGGGGCCCAGGCCTCCCCCAGGCACAGGCCAAGATGCTGGGCCTCCCACCCCGATTCAGTCCCAGCAGGAAACGCTGTCAGGCACCCAGACTTGAGAACACCCTCCAGCAGGGACGTCAGAGCCAAGACATCAGGACCAGCCCCCTCCCGACTTTCACATCTGGAAACACACGAGAACATCGCACACCAGTAGATAGACGTGCAGCCCCAGCACACCAGGGCTTAAGCCTCCCACCCAGCACCGCGGCGTCAGGCAGCTGAACAGTCCTGGACCGACACCCTCACACCTGCACGTCCTTTTACATGTGTGGGCACCCTCACTGCCACACACCCGGACATCCACGCACCTTCTCCCCCACCTAGACATCCTCACACCATACAGTCTCTTGTCCACCAACCTATATACCCACACGGAGGCCCCTCCTGCCCGCTTACACACCTGGGCTTCCTCACTGCCACACAGCTGAAACCACATGCCGTTGCCCACACACCTGGGCGCCCACACACCTGGACGCCCACACACTGCATGCCCTCTTACCCACAAACACATACACACACCTGGGCCCTCCTCACCCATACACCCGGGTGGCCATACACACTTCTGTCCACACATCTACACACTTAGACAGCCGGGCACCCACATACCCATTCCCCACATGTCTCCTCACCCACACTCCTACACTCACCCACCTCAGCACCCTGGCACCAGCTCCTCTTAGTCACACGCCTACACCCTGGCACACTCTCACACCCACACATCCGACACCTGCACACCCGGGCACCTTCCTGCCTAGCCCTCTCGCCCCCCGGCTGGCACCTGCCCACCTCCATCTGGATCTCACACCCGGGCATTTGCACACCCATGGACACCCCAACTCTCCACTCCCCACCCCCACCAGATGTAAGCCACACCCCCAGGTCACTGGCCCCACGCCTAGCCATCAGACCTTCCTCCCCGGGGACACCGGGGACACGGGCGCCCCTCCCAGCCTCACCCACAGCCGTGACCCTGACCTGTCGGAACTTGGCTCGAGCTTCCTTCTCCTTCATGCGGCCGTGCGACACGAGGTAGTCAAACACTTCTCCTGCAGGGCAGAGGCCAAGCGGGGTCAGGGTGGGGCGTGGAGATGCAGGGGGCGGGCAGGGCGGCGGGGGCTGGGGCTCACCAGCACTTGCATACTCCATCACCAAGTAGAGCGTCTTCTCGGTCTCGATCACCTCAAAGAGCTTCACTGTAAGGACCAAGGGGTGGGGCGCCGGTTACGCGGGGAGAGCCCCTCACCCTCCACCCGCACTCAGTAACAATGTGGATGCACCGACCGTGACACCCCTACTCAAGAACGCTCAATGGCTCCCTACGGCCGGCAAGATTTTCCAAACTGCCCGGCCCCACTTTTCCACTTTCTCACAAGAATGTCAGCTCTATGAGGCCAAGGATTTGTGTCTGCTTCCTCACCACTGCCTCCCTAGTGTCTGGCACACAGCAAACACTCAGTAAGTATTTACTGAGTCCACAAACAAATGGATGAATAAATGCTGCGGCCACATCTGGACCAGGCTAAATCCTGCTCCTCTGGGTAAAGATCCCTCTCTCCCCTCTCTGCCTAATGATAATGACAGTGACAACGGATGCTGCTGATGACAATAATCAGACCAGCTTCCGTAGCTCTGAACTGTTTTGCATGCAGTATGCACGATCTTATCCAATCCTCACATGACCTTGAAGTAAGCCCTCTTATCACCCTGCTCCAGAGGAGGAGACTGAGGCTCAGAGACGTTAAGGGACTTGCCCAAGGTCACACAGCCAGTGAGCACCGATACTACTAAAAGAAAACAGGGCTTTCTAACTATTATAACTGCTAGTTCTCCCTTCCCCTGACTCTCTCCTTTCCCAAGTGCCCTGGCCGGTAGCCTGAGTCCACTCCCTTCCCCTCTTCACCGATGTTGGGGTGGTTTAGTCCCTTCATGATGCGGACTTCTCGGAACAGCTGGAAGAAAGAAAGAGAAAGATGCGGGTGGGTGGTTTCGAGGACCCTCTTCCCAACCTCGCCCCTACCCTGCTTCCTCTCCCTGCGCCTCACCTTCTGCAGGCTGCTGGGGTTCAACTGCGTTTTGTCGATGATCTTGATGGCGACCTGGAGGTGGCAGATGGAAGAGGGGGGAAATGCCATGGTCCCACAGGCCCTCCAGCTGGGAGAGGTCCCCCATCTCAGATCACTCTGGGATGTCCTTCCTTTGCCCACTCTCACGGAAAGCCCTCCACCTGGGCCATTCCTAGTGGCTGGGGGCTCTGGGCCTCAGGACCTTTGCACATACTGTTGCCACCGTGTCCCTTACTTCTACAGGGAAACATCCCCTATTCCACAGTGGAGCCTGGGTGGGGCTGCTGCAGGGGCCTGTGTGAGTGTGTGTGAGGGTGACCGAGAACTTGAGGGGGCCCCTTTGTGGGGACATCTCAGGCCATTCACCCATCACATCTTTGTTTTGAAAGTACTACTTGCGGAATAATAAATAATAACCGTAGCTAACATTTACAGCAGTCACATGTGCAAGACCCTGATCTGTGTGCTTTACAATCGAGAACTCTTTCACCCCTCACAACAACTCAGTAAGGGCTAGGATTATCCTCATTTCACAAATTGGGAAACTGAGGCACGGAGCCATTTGGTCACTTGGCCAAGGTCACATGGCTGGTAAGTTTGTGGCCTGGGATTTGAACATATGCAGCCTGACAGAGTCACCTCTTAAACACTTAAAACTTAAAAAATATATAGTTTTGAAACAGCTGAGGTCTTTTTTGAAAAATCAGAATGTTATTGAACTTTCCCTACACTTGTAGTTTTTATTTTGAATTACACACTGGGGTTAGAGCACTGTAAGTTTTTCAGTAGTGAGGGGCCTTTAAAAGTCCTAATCAGCTCTAAGTCTATAGTTTTCCCAAAGGGTTTTGGGGCCACCTCAAATCACCCCCAGATCCACGGGTTACAGAATTCTTCCCCTGTGAGGCCCTATTTCCTCAGAAGCTGGTCCTCCCGGAAACCCCTGGAATCATGTTCAAGTTCCACATAAGGGGAATGACGTGTTCTCTGTAGGGGAGAGGGTCCCTTAGCTTTCCCCATATTCTCACCAATGGGTTTTTAATTTTGTCAAGAACTCTTTCTGCCAGTATTGAGATGATCATATGGTTTCTCTCCTTGAATCTGTGAACGTGGCGAAGGATGTGAATAAATTGTCAATTTGAAAAGAACTGTGCATTCCCGGGATAAACCCAGCTCTGTCATCACACAGCTTTCTTGAACTGATGTGCCAGATTCTATGTGCTGATGTCTTGTCTTTTTTGCATCTGCAATCATGTGTAAGGCTAGCCCATAATTTTATTTCTTATCTGTTTTGCAGTCATCCACGAAATAGCACATAAAATCAGCTGGGCAGTGGAAAGTCTTTCTTCAGTCTCTGGAAGCATTGGCATAAAAGTGGAATGTTTGGGAGAATTTGCCCATAAAACCATTGGGGCCTGGTGTCTTTTGTATGTGTGGCGTAGACAGCGCCAGGGCAGAAAAAATTGCTCTAGTCACTTTCTTTAAAATTGAAGGAGCAGAGGAGTCATGAACCCACGCACCATCTTTTTTTCCCACTAAGTGTGAATTAGAGACATGATATCTAGTTACAAGGTCTGCTTGGGCCCATCTGCAATAATGTTGCCATCCTCAGTACACAGGCCCCCTCTGGAAGGCCAGGTGGGAAGAGGGAGACAATGTGTAATTGAGAACTCAAATAAACCTCATGTATTCTCATCAAAATCACTGGATGATTTGATGGAACCAAAGTCCATCATTAAAACAGGGAGGTAGCCCAGGTTACGACACAAAAGCCATGTGAATTCTTAGAAATACAACCCATGGCTCTGCCTGGGATATATTTCCTGACAATTTCAGGGATGTCTGAAATTGATTCTCTTCTCCCACTTGGGTCATTCTGGAAAAATCTGAGATGTTCCGATCTGTCCCAGAGAGAGTCAGGGACTTCCCTGAGGTCACAAAGCAACATGAGGGCCAAGCCTGACCTCTCCCCCACCCCCCCAGCCACAAAGCACAAGGGCTGCAGGATTTGGCCCTGAGCCACGCCCACCCCCTCACTTACCTCCCGGCCAGTGAGGATGTGCCGGGCCAGCTTGACTTTGGCAAAGTTGCCCTTCCCGATGGTCCTCAGCAGGCGGTAGTTGCCCACGTGGGGCTGCTCCTCGGGACAGGAGGCGATGGAGTTCCGGCAGCGAGCACCCAGGGAGCGGCTGGACCAGGACGGTCCCTTGTCCGAGGAGCGGCCACTGCCCAAGGTGCCATGCTGGGCGGGGGAGATGGAGCGTGAGCGGCGGGCAGTGCCCCTCGAATCTCACCTTGAGCGGCACCCGGGGCTGGGGCAATTAACTCCAGCCACGGCCACTGGTCCCTGGTGACCCTTTCCAAATCCAGGCCAGAGGGAAGCACGATGCCTTTGGATCCTCCATCTCTCTCTATGAAAAGACACCTCCAAGAATAAAAACCTGAGGGCCCCCCACTCCGCAGCTTCCAGGGCCCCAGCATCAGGCCTCCCCTTCAGCCCTCTCTGCACTCAGTCCATCACCAACTTCCTTTTCTAATCACTGGAACCTCCATCAGCTCCACCAAATTTCATTCGAAATGCTGCCCCGCCCTCAGCCCCAAGAAACATTGACCTCGATCTGGACCTGACGCTCCAGCCCCACACGCCTGCCCCAGGGCTCCATCCCACCCTCGCTGCTTCCAACATCCCCTGTCCTCATCCAGCCCCCCAAATCTACTCCAAACCCAAATGTCAACATTGTATTCCCAGTTTACTACCCCTAACCTTTTTTTCCAATTCTTACTGCCCCCAACATGACTTGAAACATTGTAACTGTGACATTTTGCCCTACGTTCTAGCTGCACACCCTGTTACCCTCCTTGGGTAACACTGTTGCTTCCTAGATCGGCCCCCCACCGCCCTGTGCAACAGCCCAGTTCCATCAGCGCCCCACCCGCTGTTTCCCACGCCATCGCTCCTATCTGTCCCCAACGTTCTGTTCCTGCCGACCTGTCCCTCCTGGGCTTCTCTCCCCCGCAGGTCACCCGCCTGCTCCAGGCTGCCCTGGCCTGATTGTGAGCCCCAGGGACGGTGCCTCCCTTTCAGCGCTGGGGCCCAGGGTGCGGGCGACAGAGGGAGCCAGACGCCCCAGCCCCGACAGCTCTGCTCAGACCCCGCTCTGTCCCTTCCCAGGGCTGGGGGGGGGGGGGACGACAGAAGGACAAGGGAGCTGAGGAAGAGCGCGGGCCAGGTAGGCAATCAGATGAGGGCCCGGGGCTGCTCCATGCAGGGAATCTGCCAGATCACTTAACAGTGATGAGGACCAACGGTTAATAAGCACTGGCCATTAACACATCATCATCCCCATTTTACAGGTAGGGAAACTGAGGCCCAGAGCCGGGATCTGAACCCAGTTTACCCTGAGCTGATGTTCTTCACCACCCCACAGCACGCTGCCTCACACGCCCACATCATTTTTATTAAGCAGCCTTTACTGTGGGCCATGTCCTCGGCTAATAAGCATCTCCTCTGCATTTAACTCCCACAGAAGCCCAATGAGGGCGGTACCTGCAGCCTTATATTCCAGAGGAGAAACTGAGGCCTGGAGAGAGAAGAGTCCTGGTCAAGGTCACACAGTGGCTTCACGAGGGGCAGAAAGACAACCACCACGGCTGAAGCCCTAACCACACGGCCTCCACTCTCTGTGCCCTCACCCAGACCTTCGACGTGGGGCCCATTACAATCCGCATTCTCCAGACAGCGACCCCAAGGCCGACGCAGGGTAAATGTCTTGCCCAAGGTCGCATGGCAGACGGGGCAGAGTGCCCGGGCTTCGAACCCAGGCCTGCTGACTCCTGAGCATTGAGCTCTTTCCCACACCCCACTGGGATGCTCACAACCCCAGGCGTCCTCCCAGGGGAGGGTGGGAAGGGAGGTGGAGATCCCGGCTGATAAGGCCTGGGATCCCCAGCGAGATAAGGGCCAAGAGAAGAAGTGCCATCAGGTGGCACCAGAGGAGACAACCGGGGGTGGGCTGGCACCCCACTGAAGGCAGCGGGGCTGAGGAACCCCTGCAAGGGGCAGCTGGGGCAGTGGGTGACAAAGCCCCCAGGGGCCGGGGGTGGGAGCTAAAATTGGCCGGCACCACCAGCTGGCCCGGCTCCCTCCCGCCCGGCTGGCGCCCCAACACCAGGGCTGTTGCTAGGAAATCTCCAGGGAGGCTGGGCGCTGGGGGGCCTGGAACTTGGGGTGGGGGAGCATGACCCCACTTGGCTGTTGTCATGGTAACCAGACGGCAGGGGAGGGTGCTGCAACACCAGACTCCAGAGGGACAGAGGTGACCCCCCCCCAGGACTGACCTGCAGGTCTCATACACTAGAGTCAGGAGGAGACGAGAGAAGGGGATTAGGGGTCCTCAGATCCCCATTACGCACAGATCTGAACAACAAAAGGAGGAGTAAGTGCTTATGAGCTCCATTTCACAGATGAGAAAACCGAGGCTCAGAGAGGTGAGGTCACTGGCCTGAGGTCACCCAGCTAGGGAGGAACAGAAACTAGATTTGAACCCATGCTTGTCTGAATAATCAAAGCAATATAATAATAAATAATAATAATAGCAGATACCACATTCCTGGCCCTGTGCCTAAGTCACATAATCTCCTTGGCTTCTTAAAACATCCCTGACAGGGAGGTGCCATCATCAACCCCATATAGAGATAAATAAACTGAGGTCCCCAGCACGGAGGGGACCTGCGAGCTCACACCACACTAAGGCAGCCCCGGGGTGAGAATCTGACTCATATCCACAGTCACAATAGCAGCGAGCACATGTGGAGCGCGTCCTGGGTGCCAGGCTTCACCCGGATCACATCGAGTAACCCCCAGAGGGGCTCAGGCGATCATCCCCATTTTCCAGGGCAGGAAACTGAGGCTGAGAGAGGGAGAACCAGCAGTCTGAGGCCACAGGGCAAACCGGTGGCAGAGCCAGCATTTGAACCCAGGCCTGTGGGCTCCCTGGCACTTCCTGTAGTGGCTGGAGCGGCGGGGGGGG